GAATATCAACAACTAAACTTCGAAGGCAGCCTAGAACCTAAAAAGCATTCAGAATATAATTTGATGGGCCTAAGACCGATATTTCTATTTGTTACAAACGGAATTTAGACAAAATAAATATATTTGGCATGATGGGTATAAAAATATAAAAAGTAAGTAATTTGATTTGATTATTATAAAATGCAAGCGTTGAGTTTAAAAATCTGAAAGTCTTATTACAAAATGTTGTAAAAATTCAGGGTTTTTAAAAATCAGAATAAAAATTAGCGTTTATACAATAAAGTTCTAGATGTAATAAAAGTTTCCGGTTCTAAATCGTTAATTTTTTGTAAAAATAATTTAATAATTAACATAATTAGCAGAACCTTTAACAATAAGTTTGCAGTTTTTAAGTTATTTAAGTTTATTTCAATAAACTTTCAAGTTTAATCCATTCAAAAGTTCAAAGTCTATGATTTATTTAAATATTTTTTTTTTAAATCAAATTTATCTTAAAATTATTTATCTCATCAATAATGTTGTTGATTTTTTTTAGAAATATTTTAAAATATTAATTAAATCGTGTTGTTTTAAGCAAGAGGGAATATTTTTTTTTCATTTCTTCTAAAACATCTATTAAATTAATACTTTTTCTATAAAAAAAATACGTAAACATTAATTGTTAATCAGCAAGTAGAAAAAACTAATGGCAGACTAAATGCCGGTTTTATTTACGTGATTTGAAAAAGTATATTCTGAAACAACAAAAAAACTAAATAAAATTATTTATAAACTTGTTCAGTAGACAATTAAAAAAAATCCAATTTTTTTCTATTTTTTAATAAAATAAAATTGTTGTCTGTTATAAGATTTTATTTTTCTAAATTCTAGATAATGTCGACTAAGCAGACTTAAAACTAATTATGAACATAGAGTCAAACCAAAATTATAGTTTGATTTAAGTTTAACATTTGTAATCTTCATTTTCCTCTTATAGTGAAGATGGCAACAGAAATTTCATAAAAATAAATTAAGCAAAAAACTACATCTGTGCCTGTTGCGGGAATACGAGGGTTAATTTTTCGTAAAATTCAAATATATTAGTATATTAAGAAGTCTTAAATCTAAACGATATTAAAAGTCTAGGATTTTTAAAACGCTTTAAATTACCAAATAACGAGAAATTCCCACAAAATATGTCTAAAATCATGTCAAACACTTGCCGTGTGATTAAAATTTAAATTATTCAAATTTTATGCAAATTTTTGCTATTTTTGACATCTAAATCTTATGTCATAGTATGTGGATTTTGTGCAGCTAAATAAATAAATTTGGCACATCCTATTATAACGCTAGACAAAGACAATTTTTATTTCAAATTCATTCATTTTATTGATTGTATCAATAAAATGTATCAATTCAAGTTATAAACAAAATTAAACAAAAAAAAAAAACTGGTCCAACTCGTGTGTTTGGGTTTTGTATAAATTATAAAATTATAGAAGTAAATAAAATAGATGCAATTTATAATATGAAAATAAAAAAAAAAAAAACTTTCAAAAATTCTTTATTATAGATTTTCAATAAATTATTTTTGGCGAAATTTTGCATAAAATCTCAATTTCAATTTTTATAAAATTCTTAGTTAAAGAAAAATTTACTATTTAAAGAAAATTTTTGATAAATTTCCCACTTCAGGGAAATTTTTAGTAAATTTCCCATTTATAGGAAGTTTTCAATTCTCTTTTTAAAATAATTTTTTCAGAAATTTCCTATGTTAGGGAATTTTTAAAATATTCTTATTTTATACATATTCTATTCGAGGGAAATTTTCAATAATTTTTTCATTTAAAAGAATCCACTAATTTCGAATTTCAATTTTTTAGTTAATTTTCTATTTAAGAGATTTTTTAATACATTTTTTTATTGAAGGAAATTTTTAACAAATTTAATGGGGAATTTTTACAAAATATTCTATTTAAGGGAAATTTTTAGTAAATTTCTTATTATTTAAGGGAAATTTTCAATAAATTTTCCATTTAAAGGAATTTTTCCACAAATTTCGTATTTCAGAGAAAATTTTTAGTAAATTTCCTATTTAAGGGAATTTTTAATAAATTTCCTATTTGAGGAAATTTTCAATAAATTTCTTGGGGAATTTTTACGAAATATTCTATTTAAAGGAAATTTTTGATAAATTTCATATATAAAGAAATTTTCAATTAATATCTTATGTTTCCATAAATTTCGAAATTTCATACTTAAGGGAATTTTTAACAAATTTCCTATTTGAAAATTTTTTCAATAAATTTCATGGGAAATTTTTAGTAAATTTCTATTTTAAAGGTAATTTTCAATAAATTTTTCCATTTTAAAGAAATATTTAATAAAGTTCCTAATTGTGGGAAATTTTCAATAAACTTCCCGCTTATGGAATTTTTCGATAAATTTCCAATTTATAAAAAAATTTAAAAATTTCATATTTGAAGAAAATTTGAAATAAATTTTCTATTTAAGGGAAATTTTTGTAAAATTCTTTTTTGGAGGAAGTTTTCAATTAATTAACTATTTGAGGGAAATTTTAAATAAAATTCATGATAAAAGAAAATTTTCAATAAATTTTCTATTTAAAGGCAATTATTAAAAAATTACCCACTTAAAGGAAATTTTCCATAACTTTCCTATTTAAAAGGAAATTTTAAATAAATTTGTTATTTATAGGAAATTTACAAAAATTTACTATTTAAGGGAAATTTTTATTAAATTTTCTATTTAAAGAAAATTTTTAATAAATTTTCTGTTTATAGGAAATTTGCCAAAATTTCCTCCTTAAAAGACATTTTTAATAAATTTCTTCTTAAAAGAAATATTTAATAAATTTGCTCTTAAAAGGAAATTTTAAATAAATTTCCTATTTAAAGGAAATTTTCAATAAACTTCCTTTTTAAATGAAATTTTCAATAAATTTCCTTTTTAAATGAAATTTTCAATAAATTTCCTCTTTAAATGAAATTTTTCATAAATTTCCTCTTTAAATGAAATTTTTCATAAATTTCCTATTTAAAGGAAATCTTCAATAAATTTCCTATTTAAATTAAATTTACCAAAATTTCCTATTTAAGGGAAATTTACCAAAATTTCCTCTTTAAATGAAATTTTCAATAAATTTCCTCTTAAAAGGAAATTTTCAATAAATTTCCTCTTAAAGGAAATTTTTAATAATTTCCTCTTAAAGGAAATTTTTAATAATTTCCTCTTAAAGAAAATTTTTAATAATTTCCTCTTAAAGAAAATTTTTAATAATTTCCTCTTAAAAGGAATTTTTCAATAAATTTCCTATTTAAAGGAAAATTTTCAATAAATTTCCTATTTAAAGGAAATTTTCAATAAATTTCCTCTTTAAATGAGATTTTCAAAAAATTTCCTCTTTAAATTAAATTTTCAATAAATTTCCAATCCCTTAAATAGGAAATTTACCAAAATTTCCTATCTAAGAGAAATTTTTATTTTTTCATTTTTCCATTTTAAAGGACATTTTTAATAAATTTCATATAAAAAAAAATTTTCAATAAATTTCCTATATTTTTCGAAAAGTTTTCAATTTAAAGGAAATACACAAATTGTTTGAAAAAATATATAAATTTACTTCTCAAAATCGTTCCTAAATCTTAAAAAAATTCAAACAAATATCGCTGAAAAAAAGAACTAACCCAGAACTACTCTAAAGAATGTGTATAAGTTCTCCAAAGTTTCCCTAAATCCGTTTCCAATAGTGACAAATTCGAAAAAAAAAACATTGATTTAAGAACAAGTTCCAGAACTGTTTCATAACAGCATCCACAGAACCAGTTCCTAACAAATATCGCTGAAAAAAGAACTAGTCCGGAACTATTCAAAGAATGTTCTCCAAAGTTTCCCTAGGTTAGGTTCTGATGATGACAAATTCGAAAAAAAACCTTTATTTAAGAACCAGTTCCAGAACTTTTTCATAAAACCAGTGTCCAAACCAAAACGCTTCCACAGAACCAGTTCCTAACAAATATCGCTGAAAAAAGAACTACTTAGCCCTAGAACTATAACTATTCTAAAGAATGTGTCTAAGTTCTGTAAAGCTTCCCTCAATCCGGTTCTGATGATGACAAATTCGTAAGAAAACATTGATTTAAGAACCAGTTCTAGAACTGTTGTTTCATAAAAGCATCCACAGAACCAGTTCCTAACAAATATCGCTCAAGAAAGAATTAGCCCCAGAACTATTCTAAAAAATTTTCTTTAAAGCATCCCTAAATCCGGTTCTGATTGTGACAAATTCGTGAAAAAAAACTTTGATTTAAGAACAAGTTCCATAAAACCAGTGTCCAAACCAAAACACTTTCACAGCACAAGTTCCTAAGATGACAACTCCGAACAGAAATCATTGATCTCAACATCAAAATAGAGCAACTACAGGCTATAATCATATGTTATAGAACTATTTGTGGAACTAATATAATTTTCCTAGATTTTTAACTAATTCCCGTGACATTTCCTTATTCAAACGGCAACGAGTGTTTTCAAAATCAGAGCAAAATGAAAATTATAAAAAGTTTAACTTGTTAATTTAGTTTTTGTTAAAACAAAATGTTACTATTTTTTAAAAAACTTTGTTTTTGTTTAAAACTATTATTATTTTTTTTTTTAACTTTTTTCCAAACAACATTTTAAAATGATTACAAAAAACACCTAATTTGACAAAATTGGCAAAGAAATACAAAAAAAATATGTAAAAAACTAGGAATGATGCACAAAAAAAAAAACAAATAAAAAATTTATAAAAAAACAACAACAACAAAAAGCTCAAACTAGTAAAAACACAAAATCCAGTTTCACTTTCCGTTTATGATTTCTTTGTTGTTGCTGCTATTGTTGTAATATTTGATTGGGTTGGTGTGTGTTTGTTTCACTTACATTGTAGTTGTTGCTTTTTTTTACAACAAAATTTTGTTATTTAAAATATTTATTACAAAATCACACTGACTTACATTTGAGATTTAAAAATTTTTGTTTTTTTAAGTTATTTTTTGGAACACTTTTTTATAATAAAAATTTTTTTTAGGAATTTTTTTTAAATTTCTTTAAATTTTTATAAAATTTCTATAATTTTCTGAAATTTTTAAAATTTTTCTTTATTCGTTTATTTTTGTTTAAATATTTTTTTATTATTTTAAATTTGTTTTTATTTCTTATATATCAACGATTTCTTTTTTTATTATTTGTATTTTTATTTGTTTTATTTTATTCACACTTTATTTTTAATGAGTTTTTTATTTATTTTGTTTTATTTTTTTCGCTTTTCACTTTAAACCGCTTACAACAACTGCTGTCACCGATAGCCGCTTTAAAACTGAGCTTAAAGTTAATAAAGAGTTTGTAAAAATATTGAAACATTTTGGTTTAAAAAAAACTCTCATAGCGCTCGCTTTGCTTTAACTAAACATCTCAGAATTTTTGTATTTTTTTTTTCTATTTTTTGCTTTAAAATCATATTGATTTTATACACAACAACAACAATAAACTTATATTGAAAATACAACAACAGCTACTTTGATTTTAGTTTTGTCTATTTGGTAAAAACATTGTAAACATTAAAATAAACAAAATGTTTAGCAACATGTTGCTAAGCTATTGACAAAGTTTAGCCAGAGGAGTTAAAGGTTGATAGATAAAGAGCATAATTATACGTTAGAGAAAAACATTGTAATATTAAGCCGGGTTTAAATTTTGTAAACGAAATTTAAATACAATTTTGTGATAAAAAAAAACAACAGCTGATGTGTTATTTTTATATTATTAAAGATTGATATTGTTACAGTACTCAACCAAACCAGTTTAATAAGTTATTAAACTTGATATTTTTTTTTTTTTTGTAATATCAAAACAAAATTTTTTAAATTGTTTTATACTAAGTGCTATTTCATGTATTCTAATACAGAAACAAAGTGTGATACGAAAAATATTCTATTTAAAAGAAATTTACAATATTTTTTCTATTGACAAGACTAGACTATGTATAGACTAGACTATAGACTATAGACTAGACTATAGACTAGACTATAGACTAGACTATAGACTAGACTATCGACTAGACTATCGACTAGACTATAGACTAGACTATCGACTAGACTATAGACTAGACTATCGACTAGACTATCGACTAGACTATCGACTAGACTATCGACTAGACTATCGACTAGACTATAGACTAGACTATAGACTAGACTATAGACTAGACTATAGACTAGACTATAGACTAGACTATAGACTAGACTATCGACTAGACTATCGACTAGACTATAGACTAGACTATAGACTAGACTATAGACTAGACTATAGACTAGACTATAGACTAGACTATAGACTAGACTATAGACTAGACTATAGACTAGACTATAGACTAGACTATAGACTAGACTATAGACTAGACTATAGACTAGACTATAGACTAGACTATAGACTAGACTATAGACTAGACTATAGACTAGACTATAGACTAGACTATAGACTAGACTATAGACTAGACTATAGACTAGACTATAGACTAGACTATAGACTAGACTATAGACTAGACTATAGACTAGACTATAGACTAGACTATAGACTAGACTATAGACTAGACTATAGACTAGACTATAGACTAGACTATAGACTAGACTATAGACTAGACTATAGACTAGACTATAGACTAGACTATAGACTAGACTATAGACTAGACTATAGACTAGACTATAGACTAGACTATAGACTAGACTATAGACTAGACTATAGACTAGACTATAGACTAGACTATAGACTAGACTATAGACTAGACTATAGACTACTAGACTAGACTATAGACTAGACTATAGACTAGACTATAGACTAGACTATAGACAGACTATAGACTAGACTATAGACTAGACTATAGACTAGGACTATAGACTAGACTATAGACTAGACTATAGACTAGACTATAGACTAGACTATAGACTAGACATAGACTAGACTATAGACTAGACTATAGACTAGACTATAGACTAGACTATAGACTAGACTATAGACTAGACTATAGACTAGACTATAGACTAGACTATAGACTGACTATAGACTAGACTATAGACTAGACTATAGACTAGACTATAGACTAGACTATAGACTAGACATAGACTAGACTATAGACTAGACTATAGACTAGACTATAGACTAGACTAAGACTAGACTATAGACTAGACTATAGACTAGACTATAGACTAGACTATAGACTAGACTATAGAACTAGACTATACGACTAGACTATAGACTAGGACTTAGACTAGACTATAGAACTATACTATAGACTAGACTATAGACTAGGACTATAGACTAGACGATAGACTAACTATAGACTAGACTATAGACTAGACTATAGACACTAGACTAGACTTAGACTCGACTATGAGACTAGACTATAGACTAGACTATAGACTAGACTATAGACTAGACTATAGACTAGACTATAGACTAGACTATAGACTAGACTATAGACTAGACTATAGACTAGACTATAGACTAGACTATAGACTAGACTATAGACTAGACTATAGACTAGACTATAGACTAGACTATAGACTAGACTATAGACTAGACTATAGACTAGACTATAGACTAGACTATAGACTAGACTATAGACTAGACTATAGACTAGACTATAGACTAGACTATAGACTAGACTATAGACTAGACTATAGACTAGACTAGACTAGACTATAGACTAGACTATAGACTAGACTATAGACTAGACTATAGACTAGACTATAGACTAGACTATAGACTAGACTATAGACTAGACTATAGACTAGACTATAGACTAGACTATAGACTATAGACTAGACTATAGACTAGACTATAGACTAGACTATAGACTAGACTATAGACTAGACTATAGACTAGACTATAGACTAGACTATAGACTAGACTAAGACTAGACTATAGACTAGACTATAGACTAGACTATAGACTAGACTATAGACTAGACTATAGACTAGACTATAGACTAGACTATAGACTAGACTATAGACTAGACTATAGACTAGACTATAGACTAGACTATAGACTAGACTATAGACTAGACTATAGACTAGACTATAGACTAGACTATAGACTAGACTATAGACTAGACTATAGACTAGACTATAGACTAGACTATAGACTAGACTATAGACTAGACTATAGACTAGACTATAGACTAGACTATAGACTAGACTATAGACTAGACTATAGACTAGACTATAGACTAGACTATAGACTAGACTATAGACTAGACTATAGACTAGACTATAGACTAGACTAGACTAGACTATAGACTAGACTATAGACTAGACTATAGACTAGACTATAGACTGGACTATAGACTAGACTATGACTAGACTATAGACTAGACTATAGACTAGACTATAGACTAGACTATAGACTAGACTATAGACTAGACTATAGACTAGACTATAGACTAGACTATAGACTAGACTATAGACTAGACTATAGACTAGACTATAGACTAGACTATAGACTAGACTATAGACTAGACTATAGACTAGACTATAGACTAGACTATAGACTAGACTATAGACTAGACTATAGACTACTAGACTAGACTATAGACTAGACTATAGACTAGACTATAGACTAGACTATAGACTAGACTATAGACTAGACTATAGACTAGACTATAGACTAGACTATAGACTAGACTATAGACTAGACTATAGACTAGACTATAGACTAGACTATAGACTAGACTATAGACTGACTATAGACTGACTATAGACTAGACTATAGACTAGACTATAGACTAGACTATAGACTAGACTATAGACTAGACTATAGACTAGACTATAGACTAGACTATAGACTAGACTATAGACTAGACTATAGACTAGACTATAGACTAGACTATAGACTAGACTATAGACTAGACTATAGACTAGACTATAGACTAGACTATAGACTAGACTATAGACTAGACTATAGACTAGACTATAGACTAGACTATAGACTAGACTATAGACTAGACTATAGACTAGACTATAGACTAGACTATAGACTAGACTATAGACTAGACTATAGACTAGACTATAGACTAGACTATAGACTAGACTATAGACTAGACTATAGACTAGACTATAGACTAGACTAGACTAGACTATAGACTAGACTATAGACTAGACTATAGACTAGACTATAGACTAGACTATAGACTAGACTATAGACTAGACTATAGACTAGACTATAGACTAGACTATAGACTAGACTATAGACTAGACTATAGACTAGACTATAGACTAGACTATAGACTAGACTATAGACTAGACTATAGACTAGACTATAGACTGGACTATAGACTAGACTATTGACTAGACTATAGACTAGACTATAGACTAGACTATAGACTAGACTATAGACTAGACTATAGACTAGACTATAGACTAGACTATAGACTAGACTATAGACTAGACTATAGACTAGACTATAGACTAGACTATAGACTAGACTATAGACTAGACTATAGACTAGACTATAGACTAGACTATAGACTAGACTATAGACTAGACTATAGACTAGACTATAGACTAGACTATAGACTAGACTATAGACTAGACTATAGACTAGACTATAGACTAGACTATAGACTAGACTATAGACTAGACTATAGACTAGACTATAGACTAGACTATAGACTAGACTATAGACTAGACTATAGACTAGACTATAGACTAGACTATAGACTAGACTATAGACTAGACTATAGACTAGACTATAGACTAGACTATAGACTAGACTATAGACTAGACTATAGACTAGACTATAGACTAGACTATAGACTAGACTATAGACTAGACTATAGACTAGACTATAGACTAGACTATAGACTAGACTATAGACTAGACTATAGACTAGACTATAGACTAGACTATAGACTAGACTATAGACTAGACTATAGACTAGACTATAGACTAGACTATAGACTAGACTATAGACTAGACTATAGACTAGACTATCGACTAGACTAGACTATAGACTAGACTATAG